AGCCTATTGATAGTGATGCTATGGGCTAGAAATGCCTGAGGCACCCACCTGGGCCATATTACTCATAGAGAGCCCCCACAGACATTTCTCTCCATAGGGTCAATGTTGTGACTGGACAGGCCTTTCTGATTCTTATTATGACTTTAAGTACTTCGGCAAGAAACCATTAGGGAACTTTGAGGAACAAGATTTATTACTCACAAGTCCTGGAGGTTACATGGCATATCTGAGAGCCACAAAGTGAGGTAATGGGTAGAGAGAGGCAGAGAGCACAAATCTGGGGCTCTGCTTTGATTAGGGTCCAAGGCTAGAGTGCCTAGATTCACTCTTTATTAGCTAATTTTAAGCATAGAGAGAGAACTAGGGAACAGGAAGGGAGAAAGCAAAAGAATGTTGAAGAAGAACCAAAGTTGGAGGGCTAACAATACCTGATTTCAAGGTTTATCATAAAGCTACAGAAATCAAGGCAATTTGATCTTGACATAAAGACAGAAAATCATATCAATGGAACAGATACATATGGACAACTAATATTCAACAAAAAAACACAGGCAATAGAGTGAAGAAAGGATAATCTTTTCAATAATTGGTGCTGGAACAACCAGTTTTCTATATGCAAAGCAATGAACTTGCATCCACATCTCAAACCATATGCAACCCTCAATAAGATTAATAGTTTTCGCATCAGGAATCACTGAAGCCATAAGGTAGTGAGATGATATATTTAAAGTGCTAAAAGAAAAAGTCTGTCAACTAAAAATTCTATAGCCACAAAACTATTCTTCAAACCCAAAGGAGAAATTAAGACATTCCACATAAATGAAAAATGAGATACTTATCACTAGCAAACCTGCCCTACAAGAAATAGGAAAAGGAGTCCTTTGGGCAGAAATGAAAGATTACTAGACAGTAACTCAAAACCACATGAAGGAAGTACCAGTAAATGTAACTCCATAGGTAAATATAAAAGACATAATAAATATACTTTTTTGTTTGTCTTAGCTCTGGCTGCGATAACAAATTACCATAGACTGGATGGCTTAAACAACAGATTTATTTATCAGTTTTGAAGGCTGGGGAGTCTGAGATCAGGCAGCCAGCATGATTGGGTTCTGGTGAGGGCCTGCTTCCTGACTTGTAAAAACAGCTAGCTGCCTTCTTGTTCAGTCTTCACATGGTAAAGAGCAGTGAGAGGGCTAGCCTTCTTCCTCTTCTTATAAGGACTCTAATCCTGTCATGGAGGTTCCCACCACTGTGAGCTATAATTACTTCTCAAAGGCCCCACCTCCAAATACCATCACATTAGGCCTTCAGTATATGAATTTGGGGGGAACGCAAACATTCAGTTTATACCATTGTTCGCAATTCTTTCATCTGATGCAAAAGACAACTGCATAAAGCAGTTATTATAAACCCATGATGACAGATGTACAATGTATAAAGAAATAATTCATATGGCAATAACAGCAAAAAGTGTGGGGGGCAGGCAGTGGAGCTATATAGAAGTAAAGTTTTTACATGCTGTTGAAATTAAGGTGGTATTCGTACTACAGGCTGAGATGTTCACAGTGGTCTTCAGGGCAACTACTAAGAAAGTAACTTTAAAAATATGGTAAATAGGACAAGGGAATTACAATTGTACACCAGAAAATATCTATTTAATCCATAAGAAGACAATAATGAAGGAGTGGAGGAACAAAAAAAGACATAGAAAACACAGAGCAGGGGCACCTGGGTGGCTCAGTCAGTTAAGCATCTGCCTTCAGCTCAGGTCATGATCCTGGGGTCCTGGGATCAAGCCCAGCATCGGGTTCCCTGCTCAGTGGGGAGCCTGCTTCTCCCTCTCCCTCTGCTGCTGCCCCTGCTCGTGCTCGCTCTTTCACTCTCTCTCTCTCTGTCAAATAAATAAATAAGTGAAATCTTTAAAAAGAAAACAAAGAGCAAAATGACAGGCATAAATCTTACATTTAATGTAATCACATTAAATATAAATGGATTATACACACCAATTAAAGTGCAGGTACTGGCAGAATGAGTAAAAAAACATGATCCCACTATATGCTATCTACAAAGACACACTTCAGACTCAAGGACACAAATAGATTGAAAATAAAAAGGTGGAAAAAGATATACCATGTACAGAGTAACCAAATGAGAACTGGAGTACCCATAATAATATTAGACAAAAGAGATTTTAAAACAAAAATTGTTACTAGAGACAAATAAGGACATTTTCTAATTATAAAAGGGTCATTCTATCAAGAATATATAAAAGTCATTAACACAGAGAAGCCTAACAACAGAGCCCCAAAATACATTAAGCAAACACTGACAAAATTGAAGGGAGAAATAGACAATACAACAACAGCAATTGGAGTTTTCAATACCCTACTTTCAATAATGGATAAAACAATTAGACAAAAAACCAAACAGGAAATAGTCTCGAACACTACAGACTAACTAGAACTAACCAACAACTATAGAATGCTCCAATTTTAACAAAAGCAAAACATGCATTTGTCTCAAATGCTCATACACCATTCTTCAGGATAGATTGTATGTTAGGCCATAACAGATTAACTTGTTGCCTCAATAAATACGAAGCAATTGAAATCATAAGTAGGTTCTCCAATCCTAATGGAATGAAACTAGAAATCAATAACAGAAGGAAATTTACAAATGTGTGGAAATTAAACAACAAACTCCTAAATAACCCTGATAATGGGTCAAAGAAGAAATCACAATGGAAATTAGAAATTAGAAAATAATTTGGAATGAATTAAAATGAAATTATAACATACCCAAAATTATGGAGTACATCTGACACAGTGCTTAGAGTTTCCGGTGGCTTCTGAAACACTCAGCTGGGGCATCTCTTCTCTAGTCAAAGGCAGGAATCCGGATAACTGGAGGATGTCTGAAACCACTCTCCTGAGTAGGTCTGATCCTCAGACCTACTCAGGAGAGTGGTTTCAGACATCCTCCAGTAAATGTTGACTAGATCAATGGTTAAGTCTTCTCCCCTGAAAACCACAGGGCCCTTACCATGTGTCAGGTTAACTCCTGCTTCCATGTACAACTTCCTTCAAAATGTTCAGTGGCCCCATGTCCTCTAGGGTTGAGGCTGAACTCCTCAGTCTGGCTTTTTGGCCTTTCCAAAATGACACTAACTTGACCTTTCAACCATATTCCCCTCTTTTTCTCCAATATTCTCCAGTCAGGGCCATAACCAGTCAAGAGATTTTGCTCCCTGTGTGCTAGGAGAAAGGACACAGACTTCAGGGCTAGGTAGGCCATGATGCAAATCTTAGCCTATTGTATGATGCTGGGTGGTTCAGTTTCCACATCAATAAAATTGGAATTTAAAAAATCTACCTTGAGGGGCGCCTGGATGGCTTAGTTGGTTAAGTGTCCGACTCTTGATCTCAGCTCAGGTCTTGATCTTAGGGTTGTGAGTTCAAGCCCTGCGTTGCAGCCTACTTAAAAAAAAAACAAACCTACCTTGAAGAGTGCCATATGTGTTACACAGTGCCAGGCACATAGTAAAGATTCCTTATATGGAAATAATAATAATAATAATAGCAATAATAATCATAACAATAATATTGCTATTCTCCAATGATCCACATCCTCTATGACCTACAAAGTCTCTCCAAGATCCAACAACCACCAAGTCATCTCTGACTGTACCTTTCCTCATGAATGTAGTTCTAAGCAACAAACATTTGATCAGTCTAGCTATTATTGTATATTAATAAATATTGTTTCTCATCTAGGCATCAAGCAACTTGAAAGTTTATATTATATTCTAGTTTAGAACACCTCGTCAGCAGTAGTACAGCATAGTGCTTAAAATCCTAGACTCTCAAGCCAAACTGGATTCACAACCCAATTTCTTCATTTATTACCTAAGTGACTGGGCAGGTCACCTAACCTCTCAGTGCTCAGTTTCCCCATCTGTGAAATGAGACAGCAATGATAACAGTGCCCACATAGGGTGGCTGTAGGACTTAAATGGAGTAAGAAAAGTGTCTGGCATATGGTATCTGCTTAATTATTGTCTGTAGAATAAATTGACTCAAAGTCCAGAACATTAGGCAGGTAGTTGCTAAAATTAGATCAACCCACACACATTAATCTTCACCTTCCACCATAAAAATCCAGTTTGGAATTACACTACTCACTGTGGTAAATTTGCTTGATTAGAGTGTTTAGGGCAACATAGTAAGATCAAATCACTGTAGCCAAAGTTGTTTTTCAGGAAATTGTTTTGAGACTAAGCTGAAAGCCCTAAACCTAGTAATCAGGAGAGTATCCTAATACACTTCCTAAATGTGTATTCCTCACTGGGACTCACAGTCCTAAGAGATAGACCATCGTTGTTTGGTCTGATTAGTAGAGGAAGGAGAAAGGACATGGAAAGGTTGCCTTTCCAGGATATTGAGTATTTTTTTGTGTTCCAGATAAACAACCTGGGAGTAGGCAATATCATCCCTGTTATACAACAGAAGAAACTGAGGCTCAGAGACATTACCCAAGGTCATACAACTGGTGACCAGATTCAAACCCAGCTCTCCCTGACTCCTAAGCTCGGACTCCTTCTGGTCCCTACAAGGTGAGGTGGCCACGGGCATAAAGCAGGGTTACCTCAGACTTTTCGAGACAGTGCTCTCGCCACTGAGTTTTCAGACTCCTGCTCACCTTCTTTACTCAGGGGTTGCTTTTCTCCTGGCTGAGGAGAAAGGTACTCAAGATCTTAAAGAAAAATGGAGACCCAGCTTCTCAAAGAAGCTGGCACCACCACCGATCCTCCATCTCTTGTGGAGAAATGGTCTCAGATGCCCTTCCCGTTGGCTGGAGTAGGGAGGGGAATTGCCCACCCCTCACAAACACTAAAGGCGGAGATGAATGTGGCTGCTTTCACACAAGGGCCACTTCTGGTTTCTGGTTTCCCTCCCCACTCAGCCTACCCCTTGGGAGGGCGTTTCAGCTACTCGTCATAATGAAAGTGACGTTGGTTTCTCTGCCACGAGTGAATAAGGGGCGAAGAGAGGTATCTTCTTTGTTCCTGGAGCCTGCCCTGGAATTGACCTCGTGCTCCTCAGAAGACCGAGGGGTGCTGAGCGCACCAGCGCAGTGGGAGCAGAGCCGGCCCCTGGTGAGGCAGCGGCTATCTTGGTTCCCCAGTCATGTCCTGGCAGCTGTCTGCAGTGGTGGTGCTTTTCGTGTCCCTGGCTGGTGAGTGACACCCGTGGCTTTCCATGGTGACCCTGCCAACTCTGGTCCGATTTGATTCAAATGCATTCTAGTGCCACGGACCAAGGGAAGACAGGACAGCCTGGAGAACAGCCATGTGGCTTCAGCTAGTGTGGGTATTTGGCTTGGGGAGACCTCCTCCTTATTACCTTAAATACAGGGAGCACCCTTTCCTGTTTCTCCCAAGGGCTTTCACAGTTTAGACTTGAGTCAGGCAGAGTAGGTATCAACTCCAGAAGGCAGTGACACTATACCTGGTTCCCGGATGGGTTCTGGGCACCTTATCAGGGAGAGTTTGGGAAATCACGTAGATTTAAGAGATGGAGAACTGAGCCAGACTTCAGAAATGGGACTCTTGTTAAGCGCATTACGTGTTGCTTTTCCTGTTTTTCTCGAACGGAAGCGCTATGTTTGCATTATATGAACAGTGAATTGTGAAGAGGAATGAGATGCGGTCTGGCAAGCTGTGCCATTTCAGAGAGGTATAAGCTAAGGAGTCAACTATTACACTTCAGGTCAGAGAAGCTGTCTGGGAAACTGGGCTTTTAATGATTCTTTTATGTGCCCACCCCCTGCTTTCACAAAGAGCATTTTCTCGGTAGGACATTGAGTCCTCTTGTGTGTCATTACCTAGTTGCTAGTTAATTCACAATTCCTTCCAGAAGCACTGAGTTGAACATGTGAGGGAACTGCACGGCCCCACTAACATGCTCCATGCAGGGGATGCAGAGGCACTTGATTGTGACATGAATTGTCAGACAGTTGGGTGAAGGGTCAGGCCAGTGTCCTAATCTGTGGCTGTTTTACTTCTGCCACATTTTCAGAAATAGAATTTCACATTCTTCTGGAGGCAAAAGGTGAAATCTAAGCTAATAAAAAGGCAAAAGATCTCAGTCTAGCGGTCACCCTCAGTGACCTGTGAGCAGATGACTAGCAGATTCAGAAATGAAATGAGTGCTCAGTAATTCCCAGGGAGGTAGACAGGAAATACCCTGCTGCCCTCCTCTGAGCTGCAGATTCTCCAGGGTGAACCGAGTGAACAAAGTGTGTGAAGGGTCCCCATTTTCCAGATTAAGGAATTGCTCGTGGTCCCTCAACTAGCAGGGGGCAGCCCTGAGATTTGCATCCAGGAAGCCTGGTTTCAGGGCCTTGCACGCATAGGTTCAAGACATACTTGAATTGGAGATGAGCAAAAACCATTGGACATTTTGGTAAGAGAGACATAGCTTCTAGGTGAACTAGCTCTGTAATCTTTATCCACTCACTTTGCTGCCCTGGTCTCAAATTCCTCCCCCACAAAATGAGGGGATTTAAATTTGTATCAGTTACGTTTAGCTTCAGCTGCTCCTAATAGACAAATAGGAGCAAAATAAACAAGATAAATATGTGTTTCTCTTTCATGTGAAAACAAGTCCAGAAGAATCCATCCCAGGTCCGGCGTGGGAGCTCATTATCGTGGACTCTCCCTCCTATGTGTGACTCCCACCTGCAAGTTCTTTTCATGGTTCTAAATGTCTGCTGGAGCTCCAGCCATCACATGCAATTTGCAGGCTGGTTTGAAAAGGAAAACATAAAAGCAATAGAGTGGTCACGTAGGTGATGGAGTCCCCTTCAAGCAGCATTCCCAGAAGGCCCACATAACCCTATGTTATGGGGTTTGGCTCAAATGCAGTCACACATTCTCACCCAGATGGAAAGGAACCTTGGAGGTAGGGTTCTTTGTTCCGGGCAGCAAGTGCACAGCTTAAATTTGTGGTTCTGTTACTAAGGAAAAAGGGGAGGCTGGATTTGGGAGTAGTTAACCAGCAGTCTGTGCCACGGGACTGGAGCCACTTCTGTATGAGGGTTCTCTTTGAATCTAAAGTCCCACAGAAAGTAACAGGTAAGATTTATATCTTTTTACTAAAAGATTGAAGGTTAAATTGTGAAACTGTAAACAGAATCTTAACTAAGGGCCCACCCCTGTTGCTTCACACATCCAGAAACCGTCTTCCTGCTGCACCCAGCTGGGGCTGCTTCTGCTCCCTGGGGAGGTGCCAGAGAAAGCATTTGGGGGCTAAAATTCAGTTCTCTGCCCCTGGGTGTGGCCACGGGGCTACATTTACTTCCCCAATGTGTTCCCAACTGCAAAGAGTAGCCTCCAAGACCTGCCAGGCCAGTTCCCAGCTGGCCCCTTACCTCACCTCCCTCCTCATGTTCCCATCATGCTTTACCCCCTTGCTATTCTCCAGACCTACCAGACTCTGAAGACCCTGTGTCTTTGTACATACTTTTCCCCTGTCTGGGATACCACTTAATTTCTTGTCCGCCTAAAGAATTTGTCTTGGTGTTGGATTCCCCACCCCACCTCATAGCACTCAGGGCTTCCTTCTATAATAACGCTTGTCACACTGAGGAATGGGGTCCACTTATGTGTCTGCCTCACAAGGCTTTGAGCCCCTGAAAACAAAGACCCAGTGCCTGGCAAGGAGCCAGGCTCAGAAGAAGCTCCTACATATCTGTTGAATTGGGTGTGGCAGGGTAACTAAAACAAAGGCTATCTGGGAAGGACCAGCCATCCGGGAAGTACCTAGAGAAAAAAACCCTTGCATGGTCACTGAGTTTCCCAGGGCTGGGCTGATGAGTCATCTCTCAGCTCCTTCTATAGGTTGTAGGCGAATCCAAACCCTCTCGCACCTCTTCCTGCAGCGCATCATCTAGAGGAGTCCAAGCAATGGGTCTAGGTTCTAGGGTACTTGTTTGCTGAGTCTCCTGAATCCTGGAGAGAAGATGCTAGGGGATTTGGGTTGTGGGTTTGACAAATCAGCATGTGAACTCCAGGGCTGTGTCCTTTTGAGTAGAGGAAGGGTTGAGACAGAGTCTGAGCTATGTCCTGCCCCCTGCCCTCTTTGTGGGTGTCAGACAGACTGGTGAACTTAACTAAACCTTTACAGAGTCAAAGGTCCTGTTTAAGAACTGTGACCCAATTTTGACAAAGATTGGTCATATACTGTGTGGTCATATACATAGACTTTATAAAATAGAGTATTTTTCAGAGCCTTATTTCTATTAACTACCTAACATATGAACTTTCTAGAATGTATTATAATGCACAGTGTACCTACTCCTATCAGTTTTCCATCTAATTACCTGCCCATCTTTTATACCCCACACTTCTACAGGGAGATGGGAAGGGGAGGAGAGAAGCCGCAGAGGGGAAGGAGAGGACTATTAGAACAATATTTCCCAGTTCTATCTGGGAACACACTCTGGTTCAATCTGTAACACACTCTGACACTTGGTCCAGCCACCTGCTGGCCCAGCTTTCTGCCTACCACAAAGCCACACACTATATCAAGACAGCATGATTGCCATCACCTTCAGCCACCCCATAAATACTTCCTGCACACCAAATACATCTTGATGGGTACCATGAGTCATCTTGTCCTGTTTTGGAGGCTGTGTGCTACCCAGTTGAGGATATTCTACTCAGCTGAGAAAGGTTTGCTTTAGTTCATAAGCATATACCATGCATTGTGAGATTTTTTGAAGGATCTAATGATCCCCACCCCCCAAGAGAACAAAAGGCAAGTGGTTTCCAGTCTCCCAGAGTTCTCTGCAGCAATCTTTGCTTACCACTACAAGATATTCCTCAAGAGTCCCTCTGGGAGTGAATTCTCTTTCTCCATAGTAACAGTGTAAACTTAATGGGGTTTCTATTAGGGTCATGACTGAGGAACCAGCAACTCAGATTTAGCCCAAATGAATTGTGAAAATAAATCTTTCACAACTGTCAACCTTCATAACAATCTTGAAAGGAAAAATCTTGCTCCAAGTCCTACCATGCAGGCATAAAGTGTCCACATATAGTGATTTTATGAAGGCTTACAAGGAAAACCTACAGTCCATAAAAATCCACAACTCTCAAGTATCATACATTTCAAATTCTCCAAATGAACATTTTAGATACAAAAAAAAAACCCATTTAGTAATAGTTTCACGTAACTTAATGTCATTAATAAGCCTTTCTTTTTTTTTAAGATTTTATTTATTTATTTGACAGAAAGAGAGAGAGACAGCGAGAGAGGGAACACAAGCAGGGGGAGTGGGAGAGGGAGAAGCAGGCTTCCTGTGGAGCGGGGAGCCCAGTGCGGGGCTCGATCCCAGGACCCTGGGATCATGACCTGAGCTGAAGGCAGACACTTAACGACTAAGCCACTCAGGCGCCCCTAATAAGCCCTTTTAAAGGTTATTCAAGGCAATTTGAACTGGTGCTTTTGTCTTTCTCATTTTTCAAGCCAGCTGTGCAGAAATAATTTATAAGCATTACTACTGGGCTTGAAGTTAGAACTTTTCTTCTGGAAAATAATCACTATTTTATCGTATAAGCTTTTGAAACCCTCACCAAAGACCATCATTATGAGGGTCTGGTGATTTGGCGTCCCTGGAAAGGCACCCTGCTCTTCTTCTCTTCTCTGTTTTTGTCTCCTCTCACCATTCTTCCCAGTGATGCACACCACCTCCACCCCACACCAAATCCAAGGGCAGGCTTTGGTTCAGACAGGGGCTCAAGTCTCACCTCCAAAATTTACTAGGTGTCTCACTTCCAGAATATACTAGTTGTGGGATTATGGTCAAGTTGATGGGATTTTTCTAAGCCTGAGTTTCCTCATCTGAAAGGTTGATAAAGATAGAACCCATCAGAGGGTTTTTGAGAGGAGTCGGTGAAAGATGACCCTTGACCTGAGGCCTGCCATGTAGTAAGTGTCCAATAACTTGGACATTTTATTGCTATTATTATAGTAAAAGTAACCACTTAGAAATATAATGAATGAAAGAGGGAGATAGTAAAGGAGTTTATGGATGATTTTGATTAGATGTGAATTTCAGGATTCTAAACACCAGCATAGAATGATTCCTTTCCGTTTTACCCATGTTTTCCCAAGTCACTGGCCAGCATTGGGGAGCTCCAACTCCAGTGAGTGTAAATACAATGGGCAAATACAATGAAACCAAAGCATTGAAGAGACAGAGCCATCTCTCAGTGTGCCTGATTCCAAACTCTCAAGGAACATCATCTGCATTTTGCTCAGCTTTCGGATTTGCTATGTGCTTGGGACAAGGCAAGGATAGAACTATTCTGGTTGAAAAAGAGGCAGAACCCTTCCACCCTTAAGGAATGTCCCAGGAGAGAACCTGTGACAGTAACACACACTATAGGTACGCTTGATGGTCCAGGAAGTCTTCACTTAAACCAACTTGTTTGAGCCTTACAATAATCCTAGAAGGTCTACAATGTTATTATCCTCATTTACGCATCCACTTATCCATCCAATTCATATGCACTGAACACTTTCTGTGCATAAGTACTGGTAGTGAAAAAAAATACAATAAAAAATACAATCTCCACCTTGAGGTTGCTTTTAATCTAGTGGGAGAGATGCACAGTCTAAATAAATAAACCAATAAATAAACATATAATCAGAGCTATTATTCTGCTGGAACACACTGTGTGGGCAGGCTTACTATTAAATATGTTAATACCATCCCCTCATATCATTACAAGTTGTGATTAGTGCAGTGCAGGCAATGAATATAACACGTGATGGGGAATTGTGGGGTGGGGAGCTATTTTATATAAGGATGTCAGGGAAGACTCTCTGAAGATCTGGCATTTGAGCCAGATGAAGGACTATGAAGGACAGCCCACCAGATGCATCAGAGCAATTATGGCTTAATTTTCTTTTCTACTTGAGAAAGCCTGGGCCATTCAAAAGGTGAAGTAAGGGGGCGCCTGGGTGGCTCAGTTGGTTAGGCGACTGCCTTCGGCTCAGGTCATGTTCCTGGAGTCCCGGGATCGAGTCCCACATCGGGCTCCCTGCTCGGCAGGGAGTCTGCTTCTCCCTCTGACCCACTTCCCTCTCGTGCTCTCTATCTCTCATTCTCTCTCTCTCTCAAATAAATAAATAAAATCTTAAAAAAAAGGTGAAGTAAGAAATGACAAGAACTGGTCTGTCTTTACAAAAACTGACAGCAAAATAAAAAATAGAAGGGAAACAAATCTCCCATCATTGGAGGTATTTATGCATCGATTGGATGAACACGTGGCAAATATTCGTAGGTACAATTCACACACCAGATTAGGGTTTGGACTAGATGATCATTAAGACCCCTTTCAAACCTGGGATTGTATGATTGTATGCAAACTACACAGCTCTGTGTAAGTCTTTATTACCACCATTCATGCTGTCCAGCTCTATCAGGGCATCACAGCAGTACCCCACCCAGGACCACTCTCCATTCGGAGCTGTCTGGATTCACACTAGAAGATGGGGAATGAGGGGGCATCCACACTTAGATTAAGCATGACCACTTTGCGGTGTTAGTACCACACCCTGTACAGACAAAGGGGCTGGACACAGAAGAATATCTGCAGTATGATCACAACCCTGTAAAAAACATGGGTGCAACCCAAACTTTTAAGTTGTGGCCTTGTGGTAGAATCTTTGGTGATCTTCACTTCATTGTTATATCCTTATAAATTTCACCCAAATCTAAATATATGCATATTCCTCATGAAAAGTAAATGAGCATGTTTGGAAATAAAATAAATCATGTTTATCTTCAAAAGAATTAAAAGTAGAACTACCATGTAATCCAGCAATCACATTTCTGAGTGTGTATGTTTATGTGAAGGCAATAAAGTCACTACGTCAAAGAGAAAAGTAAATAAATGCATGTTAATTTGTTGTGCAGAAACATCAAAATGGGGGTGGGGGAAGGAGGCACCAATGTGAATTCTTAGTGTGGTAACACTTTTATTTCCTAATTTACAGGGATTTTGCATTATGGCAGTCAAATAAGAGCAAAAATGTTTCCAGAAACCTCCGACTATCAATCTACAGTAGCAGCAACAGCAGAGGCCACAGCAAAGCCTTTCCTGCAACTAACTCACCAAGTCCCTGGCCAAACTTCAGCAGCCAGATCAATGGATGGTCACGTCCCCTCTCAAAGAGCTGCCCCAACCTCCAGCTCTGAGCCCCCAACCACACATACAACAGTAAAAACTCTGGTAACAACTTCCTTGATAACTACAAACAGCACCCCAACTACCAGCCCAACAACCCACACCCTAGTCACAACCTTGGCCACACCCAATAACTCACACACACCTGCTCCAGTCACTGAGGTTACAATTGGCCCCAGCGCAGCCCCAGGTTCACCGCCAACCACCGTCCCTCCAGCGGCGCATATGACAGGAACCAGCCCACCAACTATCAGCCACACAACTAGGAAAACCACCCAAACCAGTCACCAGACTGCCCTTCCAGCAACTTTGTTCACTCCACCACATAACAGCACAACCAGTCACAAGTCTGCTCAACCCAGTCATGCCCCAGGCCCAACCACAGCTGCACACAATACCACCCAAACGACCTCACCTAGTACCACGGCTTCCGGACCCACTCTTGCACCTCGGGCTTCGTCAGCCAAGACTGGAATTTATCAAGTTCTAAATGGAAGCAGGCTCTGTATCAAAGCAGAGATGGGGATAGAGCTAACGGTTCAAGACACAGAGTCGGTAAGTTGGGGCCATAGGACTGTAACACTGTCTTCAAAAAGTGTTAGTACAGTGTGTCTTGCTGAGAATAGGCATTCCCCTGCATCTTGTGTCTTTTAAGGAAATAAAGGGCTGCAAGCTCGTCTTTCTCCAAGGTGCTCCATTAAAAGATGAATCTGTTTGCATTTAGAAAATGCAAAAATAAAAACTGATAGAGACTGGCTAGAGGAAGGCACACACTAAAACTGTAACTATGCACACCTCTCACTTTTAGCCAACACGGACAGAGTGTTGAGGTGTCCTCCATGTTGACCTCAAGCCTCAGCAACTCTGATGACTTCAAGCCTCAGCAAGTCTCCTGTGAAGTGAGGGGTTTGGCTTACATGGTCTCCATGGTTCCAGCCAGCTGCGACATTAGTATCAAAAATCCAGGTTAACAAGAAGATTAGAAGGGGTGGCGGTGGGGTTAAGATTATTCGATTTACTAAAGGAATCACCATAAAAATAATACTTTCTTTTTCTGCACAGGTTTTATGAAACTTCCACATTCAGGTTTTCATCTGAAGCAGAAGTACATTACATAGCAAGATCTTTCCTGTAGTACCTTGTAACATGTTTAACAAAAATTAAATTCTATGCAGTATGTCAGGAGAAGACTGGCTATAAATGATCTATTGAGGACTCTTACTATGGGAGAACTCCTTTAAAAAATCTTTGAGGGAGACAAACCATAAGAGACTCTTAATCTCAGGAAACAAACTGAGGGTTGCTGGAGTGGAGGAGGGTGGGAGGGATGGGGTGGCTGGGTGATGGACATTGGGAGGGTATGTGCTATGGTGAGCGCTGTGAATTGTGTAAGACTGATGAATCACAGACCTATACCTCTGAAACAAATAATACATTATATGTTAATAAAAAAATTTTAAAAAATAAACAATCTTTGAACGTAGCAGTTTGGGAATGAGAGGTGTTTCCTGGGGACTTTGAAGTTTTTGAGCGAACATGCACTAGACTTGAGTTTCGGGCTCACTTACTAGCCTGTGCTTCTGGTTCCCTAGCTAGAGTTTTCTTTGATATCTCATTGATCTGATCTATTTTATTTGGTTTAGGTGTTTTCACCTCAGAGATACTTCAACATCGACCCTAACGCAACCCAAGCTTCTGGGAACTGTGGCTACCGAAAATCCAACCTTCTCTTGAATTTCCAGGGCGGTTTTGTGAATTTCACATTTACGAAGGTGAGGGCTGAGCTCCTTCATACTAACTGGCTCTAGCATCACTTTCCCTTTCCCTCACCCTGGGGTCCGGTGGTGCAATCCCATACTTCACTTTAAGTTCCAAAGGAAGTAGATCTCAGAGCCTTTTGAGATATTCCCCGATAAGAATGAGGGGCATGGAGATGGAGAAGAGGGAAGTGTCGACATCTTATGTTTGCCTCCTAACCCCTTAAGCCTACTCCGTGCAACCCAAGAAGGCCTTCAGTGCCTCTGAGGGGAGACTTGGCCTTGGGGAACCCAGCCACAGGTGCCCTTTGCAAACCACCCAAAGGAGGAAGTTGTACAGATCAACAGACCCGTTGAAATTCCCAGTGGGCACACAGAAATAGGATTATTCTCAGACCAAAATCAAATGTCACCATGGGTTCTTTCCAACTGTGGCAGGTAAGATTCAGGGACTAACCGGGCACTGGGTTTTCCAGACCATATTACAAAAGGGATGGACAACAGAGTGGAGCAGAAAGACGATGGACATGAGGTCGGAGAGTCTTGGCTGAAATCTGACTTTGTCACTGTTCTCCTTGTGACATCAGGCAGGCAACCTAACCTGTCTGAGCTTTATTTGAACACTTAAGAAATGGGGGAAGGGAATTAAAGACCACCTCTGTAAAGAGCATTGTCCAGTACTTGGAAAATAGATGTTCAAGAGCCAGTAGCTATGATTACAGTGGCTCAAGTGGGTAAATGTCTTGGCGATAAAATGTTGGTCATCCCACTCTCAAAGGAGAGACTTATCCCTGCTTCTCCCAAAGTGCCGTTCAAATAGGCCAAGTAAGAGCTGGCCGGGGTGGGGCGGGGCGGGGGGGGGGGTTGTTGCCGAGAGTACATTTGCAGCTGGGACTTGGTATGGGCCTCCTTCTTACCTGTTGAATGTGACCCCTGAGGTTAGAGGGGTCTTGGGTGGCAGAGCTTGGAGAGGAATGAGCATAAACATAGGCATGAAACAAGTTAAGATTGGCTCTCAGCCATGACACTGATTAGCCACATGATCTTGGACTAGTTGGGGCATGTTTTCTCATCTATAAAATGGAAATAATGACACCTCCTTAGTGGGACCCTTGGGAGAATCAGAAATGGTATATGTAAACTGTCTTGCACAGTGCTTGGTATATAACAATGTTCAATAAAGGGTGTTGACATTCTTAACTTGGTGTCAAAAGCTTTATCCTCCTTGTGCATATGGTTCTCCTTAAGGTGGAGATGCACTGGAGAAGTCAGGGGTTTCCTTTCAGTATCAAATGGGAAAAACATATTCTTTCACACCAGAACATTCTAGGAAGAATATGTGCTCTACTTCTGGACAACTGGGGTTAAACCTACAGAGGGGTCAGGAATTCTTTTAAAGTCACTTCAGCAAAAGGGTAGAGGGTACAGGCATAAGCATCTCTGCTTTAGTTCAGGGCTTGATTCCACCCAGACTCCTGCCTGTGTGAGTAACTGTCTGAAGGAAGGCATCAGAAAACCCCAGCGTTTTTCTGTAGCACACAGTGGCCACTGCCTTAGGCAGGCCTGCAGGAGTTTCTTTGGCACCTTTCAATGTCTCTTTTTGCTCCTTTCCTCTGTCTCTGGATGCCCTCTCTGCCTGCCTTTCCAATGCCTTCAGACTGGATTCTGTTTGATTAAACTCCACCCAACAGTCAAACCCCTACCTTTCTGGAATTCTCTGTGCCGCCAGAGGTATGGGTAGGAAATGAGTACTGAGATAGAGCTAGAAGGACCAGCAGGGCCTCTCTCCCCTCCACCCCTCTTCTGGAAGAAGCAAGGAGAGCCACTGTCCTTGGCCCCAAGTTTGCATTAGCTGCTTTGCCTGAGTCCTGCCAACCAAATTCACTTTATTCATTTCATTCCCCAGCACCAATTCCTCAAGCAGCTGACCTTAGCTCTACAACAAGAGGGAAGCAAAAAAGCTTATAGAAAGCAAAAGTTCCCACCAGACTTAGTCCTTCAGGAGAATTTCCACATTTTAAAAGAGAACTTGTTTAAGCTAAAATAGTGACCACAAATTTGAAGATCACAAGGGCTAAGTATAGAACTTAAGGAGAGAAGTAGGCTAGTAAAATTTTTTTCCCCTTGAAACACGCCATCTTTCTTTTTTATTGTCCCACTTTTGCTGAAGACTTCATCTTCCCATTAAGTCTGTGTAGGAAAAACCCTAGAGGAATGAGATGACAGAGGCAAGCCTCAGAAGTGAGGAAACACAAGGGAGGGGTAGGAAGTGCCCGTCCTCCCCAGAGGGGCAGCCACTCCTCAGCTCCGGCTGGTAGGTGCCAGTGGCTGGGCTGGCCTCCCTCCCTGGGGACTATCACTCTCCTTTATGGTGGACATTCATTCTGGATGACCGGGTACACATTCTGAGTGGCTACGGCCCTACCATGTCAGTTGTTAGATATTTTAGATATCACCTCTCTCAGGTGGTCACAAGAAACCAGTGTTGTCAGATCTTCTGACTATTCAAGACAAGACAGAAATCCAGATCTTTTTATTTTTAAATGCTGGCAACACATTTTTTTTTTTGAAAACTTGAACAAAGCTGGCCAAACAGAACACAGTTGTAAGCCAGATTTGGCCTGTGGACGCTCTGCCCTAACAGGTGGTCTGTGCAAAATGTATTTAAACAGGGAAGCCATCTTGTTTCTTCCACAGGAGAAATGGCCTCAGCAATTCTGTCAGCAACTTTTCCAAATGTGGTTAACCTCTAGACCACATTTCTCAACAGCAATAGTATTAACATTTGGGGCCAGATAAGTCTGTGATGGGGATTGTCTTGTGCCTTGTGGGATGCTGAACAGTATCCCTGGCTTCTCCTTACTGGATGCCAGTAACAACACTCAGCCCCATTGGTGACAACCCCAAATGTCTCCAAACATTGCCAGATGTCCCCTGGGGGGCAAAAATCACCTCTGGTCAAGAACCACCGCTCTAGAGAAAAAGAAAGTCTTGGAAAATAGTTTATGTTAGTTATGACATCATAAGTGTTATAAATGAGAACCAAGTTGGAGAATGGTAAATGGATGCTGGTAAGCAAGCTTGAATTAACAATTTATTAATAGGAGTTTACTGAGCACCTACTGCGTCCTGAACACTGAGCCAGACATTATGGGAGAAAATAAAAGAAATATAGGCTATAGTTCCAGGTTTCAAAACATGCACCATAATACGTAATTTTTTAAATTGAAATACTGCCAATGACAAATGTAAAGAAAATTCTGCCTCCCAAACTGTTCCTTGATGTTGTTCAATCAAGACTTAAATTATCCATGTCATTTATATGTGACCACGGACAAGTCGCTAGCTCTCTTTCTGAGCCTGTTTCCCCCTCTGTGAGATGGGGCCAACCACCACCTATTTTGTTGGGCTGCTGTGAAGGTGAGCCAGGTTAGTGTATCTGGCAATGCTGAGCATGGTGTCTGGCCTGTAGCGTGGTTAGGAGAGGTGGGTTTCTTTTCTCATTTCTCTCATTTCGTTTTTTATTTTTTACTTTTTTTAATTTTTTTTAAAGATTTAATTTATTTATTTGAGAGAGAGAGAGAGAATGAGAGATAGAGAGCACGAGAGGGAAGAGGGTCAGAGGGAGAAGCAGACTCCCTGCTGAGCAAGGAGCCCGATGCGGGACTCGATCCCGGGACTCCAGGATCATGACCTGAGCCGAAGGCAGTCGCTTAACCAACTGAGCCACTCAGGCGCCCTCATTTCATTTTTTAAAGAACTGAGAACCTTTCCATGTCAGTGTCTCGTTTGATTAAGGTGACAAACTAAAAGTTGTTCAGGCTCTCCAGGTGCAAGATAAATAGACCTCCCTTCCCCCACTCCCCACAACTTCCTTCCTTGTTTTAGAACATCTTTTAGTAACTTTGTGTAGAGTTTATTTTTCCATGCTCAACACTACCCCTTTCTCATCCACCTGGCTGTCAGGGCAGTTCAAGGCTTCCAACCCTAACTCAGGGATGGGACATAGGAGAAATCAGTGGGGTGGGGGTGGGGTTGGCGGGGCAAGGGGGTGCAGTACCAGGCCAGGTGGTGTTCTGGCCAGCCAAGGTCTGGAAAGCTAATGCTGCCCACTGCCCTGCTGTTTACCCAGAGCCTTGCAGGGGTATTTGGAGCCCTGTTAACTGAGAGACTCCTGAGAACTGTTACCAGGGTTCAAATGCAAACACCCTCAGAGTGCACTATTTAGAGCTTCCCCAGTATGCTCTATTATTTCATGTCCCATTTTCCCCTATGCTTTCCTCTCTGCCTGGAATGCCCCTCCCACCCCTCACCCCTTTTGCACTCATGCTTTAAGATGACTCATATATCTTCACCCTGTGAAGTCTCCCCACTGCCCCAGCCCCCACCTCCATCCCCGATAAAACTGGGAGGCTTTCTTCTTTTGGTTTCCTGACCCTCCATTGATTTTTCCCGACCTCCATTAATGTACTTATCACACATTTTGCTGTCTTGAAGGCGTGTCTGTGATTTATTCAGAGTGCCCAGCCCTGACTTTGTACATAAGTATATCTTTAGCAAATTATTTGGTGAGGAAATGAATCAATAAAGGAATGAATCTAAATTTCACAGACTCTTGGCCAAGCTGCCAAGAAGTAGATCAGCAGCTCCAAAGAAATAGCCTCTTTGGCTTCCCTTTGCTATATACAGAGCAAAGGTTTCTTGACATAGTCACAACAATGCTGAGCAAAAAAAGGCCTGATTGATGTTGAAGACAAAAATCCACATCCTGAACATCTGGGACTATGAAACTCCCACAATGCATTTTGCTAAAGTTAGGGAGAGGACCCTGGACTTCAAGGTCATTGGTATGCCTTCCAGGGCAGATTGATTGGCTGGTTTGCTCTGGACCTGGTCCTTTGCTAAGAAGGATGTTTAGGTCCCTTGGGGAATTAGGTCCCTTCTGAGGAGATACTGCTGAGCTCTTAGATACTGGTGATGAGGAGCCACTGTGTCCAGCACCCAATCGGTTGAAT